GGGAGAGGGACTTTTTATATGGGCAGGTAGTGACAGGACAAGGGGGAATGGCTTCCCACTGCCAGAGGGCAGGGTTAGATGGGATATGGGGAACAAATTGTTCCCTGTGAGGGTGGGCAGGCCCTGGCACAGGTTGCCCAGAGAAGCTCTGGCTGCCCCATCCCTGGGGAAGTGTCCAAGGCCAGGTTGGACGGGGCTTGGAGCAACCTGGGCTGGTGGAAGGTGTCCCTGCCCATGACAGGGGCTGGAATGAGAAGACCTTGAAGGTCCCTTCCAACCCAAACCATTCTGGGATTCTATGATTCTTTGATTCTACTTTCCAGCAGACTCATGTTAAGAACACTTAGCTCCTTCCTTTTGGGTAACTCCAAGGAAGGGTTCACCCCATGGAGAACCAGTAAGGGCTGTTCTCCCTTACTGGTTCTGGGGACACTGCTCTCAGTGCCCCCCGTGAGGCACCCAAACCTCACACCTCCTCCTGGAAGCTCTCTGAGCGTGATTCCCTTTTAACAGTGGTTTAAACCCAGCCCCAGAGCTGGTTCAGCATCTCACATGCTGTTGTTTTTTCCATCCTGCACTTGTTTCACATTCACTTTTAGCCTCTCCCAGCTGCCCTGCTCTGCTGTGTGAGCCTGTGTAGGTGTGGGGAGGGCCCCTGCACAGGGAAAGTGCAGGAGGGTGAACCAACAAACCCTCAAACCCAAGCAGAGGTGGGAAACCACAGCTGCTCACCCCTCTTCTCAGTGGGATGGCTGCACACACCCAAAGCCTGACCCTGAGAGCAGCTCAGTTGTTTGGACATGGTGCTGATAACACCAAGGCTGTGGGTTTGATCCCTCTGTGGGCCATTCACTTCAGAGCTGGACTCGCTGACCCTCGTGGGTCCCTTCCAACTCAGAATATCTGTGGAGTTTGAAAGCTGAGTAGGTTTGAAGCCTTAGAGCAAACTTACCCCTTCCTCTCCATGGAGGAGCTCTTCCCTCAGCATTGTGTCTGACAGGAATGGGGGGTCCAAACTGGTCTGAGCCTGCTGATGGGGGAAATCCTGTGCCCCAAGGGCCCATCAGCAATGCTCTGCTGGAAACCACCCCCGTGGTGAGACTGCTAACGAGGGTTCTTGCTGTTTTCCAGCCTTGTCCAAGAGGTCAATGAAATCAATGAGACGCTCAGGAACCTTCACCAGTGCCTCAGAGCCTCTGAGGACATGCTGCAGATGCTGGTCCGCTCCAAGGGTGTCTTGGAGCACGACCTGGTCGTCAAAAACAACTCGCTCTTCATCGACCAGGAGAGGTGCATGGGGATGCGCAAGACCTATCCCAGCACCGTGCAGATCCTGGGATATGTGTCAGCAGGGCTCACCTGAACACGCAGAGTGTCCGTGGTGGGATGTGTTCCTGGTTTTGTTAAGGCCCTTTGCGAATAGATTGTTACGATTTCACGGGCGCCTTCAGAGTTTCATTTCCTCGTGTGAACCCCGAGTAGAAGTCGAATGATTGGTTTCTTTGGTGTGTGGTTTATACCAGGATCATTTTTTTTTCCCCTTTAGTTTTTTTCTCTTTCACTCTGTGCCAGAAAGGAGCTGAAAATATCCTGTATGACACTAAGAGTAAATCCATCCACGGGGATCCACTCCTACCCTTCCAGTCTGCAATTTTAGGAGAAAAACTGCAGTGTCTTCCTCTTTTTGAGTGTGTGTGATGTGGAAAAGAGCACAAGGGGAAGTAAAGCTGTTTGTCAGAATAATTAGCTGCTGACATCCATGATGTATTTTTAATAGTGCAGCCGAAGAAACACAAACTGTCCCGGAAGGAGCTGCAGTATGTGCTGTTCCTGAAGAGAAACATCAGCAGTTTAAGCTGACTTCTAACGATAGTTGTCTTGCCTTGTAAAAATTTAAAAATGCCCTCACAAGTGAGGAAGAACATTTGACTAGTTAATTGCCAAGAATGCTGTCAATTTAATTTTGGGTTCCTAATTCAACCTCTTAGTGTTGTAGTTTGTTGGTGGAAGCAACACTTTGAAGACGAAGAGGTGAATCAGTACTTAAGTCAAACCCCCCAGGTGACACACAACCTGCTCTCTTGCTGTGAATCAGACTGATTTGATCAAGTATTGGAATTTTCAGAGGGATAAGTCTTCAATCAATCTGTGAAAGTCACTTTGCAAATTGTCTCCTTGGACTCAGGTGTCACTTAAACACTCTGGAGTCTTTCAACCTGAGCAGTTGAGCTCAGCCTGTAGGCACCAAGAATCCCAAAGGAGCAGAAGCTCAAATCCCTTCCCCTCCCTCGGGAATCCAGGGCAGGGACCTCCCAGCCCAGTGTGGGGGCTCCCAGGAGCTGAGAACATCTCTCCTTGTCTCACATCCCCAGGTGACTCTCCCTCCTCTGACAGACCCCTCTGCCCTCCCTGCTCTCCCCCAGGGCAGTTCCTGAGAGCTGTACCCATGTCCTGGCCAGCCTCAGTGTCTCGGCAGGATCTCCCTTCCCAGCAGCTCTAAACAGGAAGCAATTGTCTCTCTAACATTTTTTTTTGTTGGTTTTTTTTTACTAGCACTTTTGTCTCAAGGAGACTAAAAATAGATTTCCTCTACTTTGTGTGTATCTTGGAGCTGGAGACTGTCAGAGGGAGCAGCCACCCTTTCTAAAGGAAAGATCCAAATGTAAGCAGGAAAAACTGCCCAGCTGATCACACCTTCCCTTTTTCCACTGATCTGCCTCCCCAAAATAAACTGATGGCAGACTGAACTCACAGGCACCTCTAGTTTTTTTAGCATCCTCCCCAGCTCTGTGCTGTTACTCTCCCTGTATTCCTTCCCTGAAGCTTCTCCCAACCTCTGGTGATTTTGGCTGCTCCCCTGGTCTGCATTCTCGCTCCAGACAGCTGGCTTTCAGTCTGAGTTGCCTGTTTTTTGGGCAGTGGGCCCTGTGAGTTTGTGCCCAGCTGAGCTTGGGGCAGCAGAGGCACCCACAGCCCCTTCCTGAAAGGCTCCAGCTCCAGAGTTACCAGAACCAAGTCCTGGCACCAGCGACATCTTCGCCTTCATTTCACTTCATTTCACTTCCACCTTCGTTTCTGAGTCACGCAAAAAATATCTGAGCGAGGGCACACCAGTATCATCAGTCAGCACCCAAAGCCTCCTCTTTCCTCCAGTGCTGCTTTCAGAGCTCCCCAAACACTCACCTTTCCCACTGGCCCGACTCCTTTGAGGCTTTCCCCTAACTGGCAGTATTTATGTGGTGTCACAATTCCCCAGCTCTTAATTTTCCCTTGCTGTCCTGCCCTCCCGATGCTCCTTCACACAACACTGCCAGAGCATTTCTTTCCTCTGTTTCAGCCACGACCAGAGGAATTTCAGTTGCAGCTTCTCTAATTTCTTTCACAAATACTTTCCACTTTCCTGCAGCACATTTCCCAGACGTTAGAGAATTCCCAGCTCCCTCTGGGGTTTCCTTCTCCCCACGCCAGTTTTCCATAAGTTGACAGTACTGATGTTACTTCTGGCAGCTGATACTCCCAGATCTCCCCCAAACCCTTTGATCACCGAATCCTGCGTGTGCTTCCATGTGAGTCTTTTTTTTTTTTTTTTTTTTTTTCCCATGCCTGGAGCCAGCCCTGCCACAAAACTCCTGTAAAATGCCTCTCCAGGGAGGGGGTTTGGGTGAAATTCCAACAGACACGTGGCTCATGGCCGGGGCTCCTGCCCACGGGTGGATTTGTCTCCCATGACAGAGCTGCTGCTGAGTGAAGCTGCTCAGCCCCACCTCTCAGGGCTGGTTTTGGGGTTCAAACAGCCTCTATTTTTGATGTATTCCAGGAGCATGAAGCAACACTCTGCTGACGTGTGAGATGCCTTTGCTGCTGTACCATTATATGATTTGCTTTCGTAGATCATTTCTAAATCACATCCCTGGCCATCCCATCCACCTTTCTGCACTGATGTGATGTCTCCTTTCTCCAGTCTGAAGAACGGCATGTTTGCTTTTATTGCTATTTATTGCTGGTTTACTGCTGGCTTTATCAGCCAAGTTGCTGAGAAAGTTAGTTTGTGGAAATTCCCTTGCATCTTACAACCATATTCCCACCCTTCTGCATCATTCCTTTTGAATCATTCCTGCAGAGCTGTGTTTGTAAATAGATTGTTTACTGACTGGAGGAAAGACAATAAAATAATAAAACTGTTGATTCATGTCTGTCCAGGATCCAGGTGAACGCTCCAGTCAGGTCAATCGAAAAGCTTTTCAGAAAGGAGGTTTTGTTGTCTAAGAAAGTAAAAATCCTTAAATTTCCTGGAAGAGTCTGATATGAATTTGGGTGAAATCAAAGCTTGCCAACCCCCCTGTTAACACTATATTGCATAACTAGTGGAGATTATTATGCTTGAGGGAGAGAGAATTCCCCAAAGAGCATCAGCAGTCAGAAAAAAAAAAAAAAAACCAAAATACAAAAAAACAACAACAAACCCAACTCATTGCTATTATGGAAAAAAAGGGAAGAAAACTTTGGCAAAAGGTTAAAGGAAAATCTGGGCAGTGGAGGATCACAGAAATGATTGTGCTGGCTCAGAGCAGAGTCCAGCAAGCGCCTGATGCAGCCTCTGCCAGAGCCAACAGGAGATGCTTAGATAAAAGCACAGAAGGCAGCGAGCACTCTGTGATATTTTCCCAGTCTACTTTCCCAGCTCCCAGCAATTAGCATCTCCAGGACTTCCTGAGCTGCCAAGGCCGTCCTTGGGTTTGATATCCCCCGATGGATTTGTTTCACATGCTCTCGTTGCAGTTGTTCTCCGAGCCCGTGCAGTGTCCGCTGTGATCCCCCAGCAGGAGCTGCGGGGCACGGAGCATCCTCCCCCTCAGGGCAGCACTGACCGCTCCGGGGACCCCGGAGGAGACTCCAAAAGGGGTTGGATCTGAAACTGCTGGAGCCAAGAGTGTAAAAATCAATAGTTCGGGCAAAATGTGGCTCAGAGCTGGTTTAGAGCCGTGTCCTCGGCAGGTTCAGCCTCACAGCAGGCTGGTTACTGTTATCTGCTCTCAGAGGATGGGCATGAACCACCAGTTCTGAAAGGGTCTGAGTGTGTTCAGAGTCATGTCCAAGCTGGGAAGCTTGCTTGGCTTTTTTTGGGCTTTGGGGTCAGCGGGCAAATTTTGGTTTCACTGAAGTCAGTGGGAGTTTCTCCAGTGATTTCAGTCTGACTTTATCAGTGCTGGAGTGGACAACTGGCTTGGAGTGGAAAAGAAAAAGTTGGGTAAAGTTGTTTTGGGGGCATGAATGCAGACAAGACTAAAGTGTTTTTTAAATTCTTCTTAGTTTGGTGAAAAACAAAAGTCAGGAAAAGTAAGTCAATTCCTCCAAGATACGTTAGACCTTTTGTTACAGACGTTTGCTGAATGTAAAATCTCCCCTTCTATTTTTTTTTTTTTTTGCTTAAAATGGGTTTTCCAACAGCCATTTCACCAGTGAATATGTGTTTATTTATATATATATATATATAAAGTCCCTAAAATTGTGATGACAGAGCAAAATCTTGGGGTTAAACAAGTTCATCCCCACGAAGACATACAGTGGAAATCTTGGCTTTTTATGTAGTTTGAAAACGGTTGTTTTAGGAGTGGCTTCATTCACCTGGCCCAGGGTAGGGGATGATGTGCTGGATCAGGTGATGCCCAGACACAGTTAAATGAGGTTTGGGTCCTTTTCAGTCCATCACTGCCATGTCAGATTAGCATCTGAACCCCTTAAAGTGATATAAACCCCGTTTTCTCTCCTCAATTCTCGTTATTTTATTCCAGAATTCCAAGCTGAAGCGTTGTATTTTGAGTGATCCCGGGGAATAGATTCAAAGCGAGAAATCCACAGTTTTTACCCAGTGTTTATGCAACCCGTCGATCTTCAGAGTGTTCCCAGCACAGCCTGGGGCCAACCTTGTTTGTACACAAAACATTTTTCCCATTTATTGCTGTGCCTGCTTTTATTTAGTCAGTGATGGCCGAGCTCACATCGAGTGTGAGCAGGGGCAGCTTTTCCCACGGTGGGAAACACCGTGAGATCCCCCAGCCCGTGTTGGTGACGTCTCTCCGGCAAAACCTCGAGGGCTCTGCCTGACCACCCTCACTGTCTTACCTCCTTTTCCCCCTGGACAGTCACCATCCAACATCTCTGGCTGATGGGAGGTGCCTCCAGCACTTTTCTCACTCCCTGCAGCAGCAGGGTCCTTGTCACCGGAGCTGTCACAACACTGTGCTCAGCAGATGTTCTTTCCCAAGCCTTGCTCTGTTTGGACCATGCACTTTCCAAGAGAAGGGTCCAAGGAGCACAGGAGTGATGTGCACTTCTCTCTGGGAGCCCTCCACTGTTCCTAATCCACGGCTCCCGTCGGAACTGAAGCTGCAGTGGTTTTGCTCTCCCACATTCGTGGAGGAGCTCAGGAGCAGAATA